TATGGCACTGGTATGAGGACAAGTATATAAATCAAAGGAACAGAACTGATGTAGGCATAAGCCTTTATCGCTATGGACAAGTGATTTTCTACAAAAGTACCGTGACAATCAGTGGATAATGGATAGTTTTTTGTTTTCCAGCAATGGTGTTAGTACTGAATATGAAAAAGAAACTAAACTAAAATGAGCTTTGATTGGGTGAAGAGCTTTTAGGAACATCAAAATCATAAATTTTAAAAGAAAAAACATAAATTAAGCTTTATTACAATTAAAAACTTTTTACCTCAAAGGACCCCACTAAAAAAAGCTCACACACACACAAATTTCCTACACTGACAAAATTTACTATTAAAATTTTATATTCTTTCATTATGAGGTAGAAAAACAACAGCATAAGAAAATGAAAAGACAAGGCCAAAGAATGGCAGAAAATAGGTACAAATTAGGTATCTAATAATTATATCCAGAGTACAGATACAGAGCAAAATAATCCTATATAACAACAACCAAAAAGTTTGCATAACGATTTCCTCAAAGAAAATATAGCAATGTCTAAGAAGTACCTGGATTGAGTAGCAGTGGTGGCACACACCTATACTCTCAGAACTCTCAAAGCTGAGGCAAGAGGATAGCAAATTCAAGCCCAGCCTGGGCAACTGGGCAACTCAGTAATTTTTCTTACTTTTTCTTTTTTTTGGGGGGTATGTGCCTGGGATTGAAGTCAGTACCCTGGGTTATGAGGCAGGGGCAGGCATCACTGAGCTAAATCCCCAGTGCAACTCAGTAATTTAGTTAAGACTGTGTCTCAAAAAAAAAAAAAAAAAAAAAATGTCTGGACATGTATGTCCCTGCAATCTCCAAAACCAAAACAAAAGAGCACAAAGTAAATAGATCAGTTACGAGGAAGTGAATTTCACAATTATCTTTTTCGGTCTTTATCAAAAATCTACATAATGAAATGTTTCATAAGAAACTACAAAATATATAATTTTTGTATTTCTCATATCACAATCAAGTTTTCAAATTACTGCAGAAAAATTATAATAACATCCAGATTGAGCAAGAAATAAATCTATCAGGGGCTGGGGGTTTAGCTCAGTGGTTCCATCACCTGCTTCACAAGTATAAGGTCCTGAGTTTGATCCCTGGTACCCAAACAAAAGAAAAAGAAAAAGAAAGAAAAAAAAAGCAGGTAACTGAGCAAATTGAGAGTCAAGAAAAAAGAAAGAAAGAAAGAAAGAAAGAAAGAAAGCAAGCAAGCAAGCAAGCAAGCAAGCTAGCTAGCTAGCTAGACAGCTAGCTATTGGTAGAGGACACAATGTTACAGAGAAAATATTAAGGAAGTCACATATACAGTAAAAAAATTTATTAGTACTTGCATGAACAAGTTCAACATAGTTGTAGGAAACAAGGTCATTTATAAAAATCAATTGTATTTCTATGCATTAGCAATGAAAAATCCAAAAATGAAATTTAGAAAAATTTCATTTGTAAAGGCATCAAAAAGAACAAAACAATTCTTAGGAATAAATTTAACAATGAAGTACAAGTCTTATACCTTGAAAACAACACAGCATTGTTGAAAATATTAAAGACCTAAGGAAATGAAAACACATCCCATGTTCATGGATTAGAACTCTTGATGTTGAGGTTCAATGCAATGCCTATCAAAAAGATGGTTCAACATTCAAAATTAAATTAATATAATCCATCATATAAGGAACTAAAGAAAAAAAATCATATGAACATATCAATAGTTGCAAAAATTCTGAAAAAAATCCAATACTCTTTCATAAAATCTAGGACTAGAGGGGAACTTCTTCAACTTGATAAAGAATGTCTTTACAGTTAACATCATATTTAACAATAAGAAATCCAAATGAATTTACAACTTCCATACAAAAGCTCACAAGGAAATGTTCATAGCAGCTTTATTCATAATTACCAAAGCTTGGAGACAGACAAGATGCTTCTTCAACAGGTGAATGAGTAAGTAAACCATGGAATAACCATACAATGAAGTATTATTAAGCACTACAAAAGAATGGGCTGTCAAGCTATGAAAAGACAGAGGAACCTTAAATGAACTTTGTTAAGTGAAAAGCAAATCTGAAAAGAGTCCATAGTATATGATTCTAATTATATGACATTCTGAGGAGTCAAACCGTAGAGATGACAAAACATGGGTTCAGGAGAAGGTAGGAAGGGATGACTAGGTAGGACACTGGAATATTTAGGACAGTGAACTTCTGTATGATATTACATTATGATATATTTGAATGACATATCATACAAAAATGTTACTATTGAAAATATTTTTCAATACCCACAGAATATAAAACACAAAGGGTAAACCTAATATAAACTATGAACCTCAATTAATATGTCAATTGGCTCACTGATTATAATAAATGTGTCACATTAATGCAAGATATTAATAATAGGAGAAACTGGCAGCAGGAGTTATATGGAAACTGCCTGAACATTCTGTCCTGTTTCCATAATCTAAACGCCCCAACACAAAGTTGTATAAGTTTAAATTGAACAAATTATATTAATTACAAAAAAATTTAATAATCACAGTAAAGTGTAACAGTCACAAGAGGAAATAAAGCTTCGATATTCCCTGACACAGCTGGAATTTCCAATGAACATAAAGCCAGCTAAGGTTCTGGTAAGATCAATGGCTGTTACCATCTGGTGTTAAAATAAACTCTAGACAGCTTTCTGATAACCTTTCATTTGGCTGCTCCTGAAACAATTGTATTTACAGTAAATAACAAGATTCTACTACTGGTGATGCCCTGAAATTATCTTCCTTATCTGCAATTTGCTTTAACTATAGGCTTTGGAAAGCCTTCTTTCTTTATACTCAAAAAGCAAGTAACTAAATTAAATGGATCTAAAAATGTTTCTGAAGCCAAAGCCCCATTTCTCCTTTGCTGGTGCTTTCTGCTCTTCTCTCCACCACCCAGCAGAATGCAGAGTTTCACCTCTGCTCTCACAGAACTTTGCTCTACCTCTAGTTTGACACTGTCATGCTCCATGTCAGCTACCCAGAGAGGTACCAAACATTCCTATACTGTGAGCCTCGCAAGACAGGTACTAAGACACGGTCATTTGTGCACTGAGCTCCCACACCTAGAAGTACAGCAAATTCGCAAGTCTGGAATATAAGTGACGCAGTTACCTAACTAACCTGCCAGGAAATGCTGCTGTATGCTAAACTGGGGGCCGAATTTGTTAGCATGTAGGTGTGAGCCTGTGTCTACATGAGTATATATATGAACGTGTGTATGCATGTTTGTGTATATATCTGCATCTGTGTATATATGAGCATTTGTATGTATGTGTTTGTACAGATCTGTGTATATGCATTTGTGTTTACATGTGTGGGGGTCCCTCTCATCCCACCTCCTTTCCTCCGTCTCCCTCCTCTGATTTTTTTTATGCTGACTTAATACTCAGAAAGTCTTTTCCTCTGTCTAGAGGTGTAGCTCAGTGGTAGGACACCTGCCTAGCACGCACAAGGGCCCTGGGTTCAATCCTGCGCATACACACAAAATTATCACCAGCAGTTCCAGCTCAACAAATTTCAAAAACCAGGAAAACAGATTCTCTTTTCAATAGTTTCCACAAAGTCCCAAAGTGAGTACTGTGGAGCCGCTCTATTAACTGACCATTGTGTTCATCACTGGTCAGGCTATGTCACATGCCCAAGACTGAGTCAGCAGAGTCACCACCTCTAACTACATAGATTGACAATGAGGCATGGGTAGCTGCCCAGGGAAAATATGGATGACTTATAAAAAGAAAGGGGGAAAAGATGCTGGGCGGTCAAGGTCAGCAGATGGTCACCACTTTATTGGCTCTCAAAGCCTCCTGGCTTGCTCCTTCCCACTGAAAACTTGTTAACTGCCTTCTATGAATCAGGCCAAGTTATCCACTGAACAGCCAATAGAAATTATCTACAATGCCCATCCCTGCATAATATACTTTCTCAAAATGAGTTATTTCCCACCTTACCTCCAGCTACAGGGTTATTGATGCTGTTTCATTCTTCTAGTTCACAGTGAGGCTATTATGCATCTATTTAAATGTCTATTACATTCAGGGCCTTTTTCTTCCCTCGTCCTATATGAGTATCTTAATGCCAAATACACACACTGCAGAAAAAGAATGTTTCAATAGCTTTTGTTTTAAGGAAAAGACGTACTTAAAACCTTGCCAAGCAAACAAAGTATGCACAGCCAGAAGTACCCCCACAGAAATGACCGAACATTCTGAGGGTAAAAACATCAAGAAGCGCAAGTCCTTGAAAGGTCCAGCACAACCCCACAAGGGAAGACATGGCTTTCTCTCCAAAGATCACTGCGGCTGTTATGGGTGACCTCTGGTTGTGACTTTTTGCAATTTGTGCTGAAGATCCTTCTTTTTCTGAGAGGGGAAAAGATAAAAAACAGGATGGACAGAGGAGAGGAGAAGAAGAGAAGGAAAGGAAGACAACAAAATACCCTACAAATGGGCCGGTGATTTAGCTCAGTGGTTCCACTGCCTGCCTTGCAAGCACTAGGTCCAGAGTTCAATTCCTGGTACCACAAAACAAATATAAATACACACACACACACACACACACACACACACACACACCCTACAAAGCTGACAGGATGCTAGGAATCTCTCAAATAACCAGGGATAATTACTCGGGGTTGTCTCAAAAACACTAATGGAAGAAGGAAAACAATTTTTCCATATCTGACTCAGTGAACTTTAGCCAGCTTTTCTTACATTTATACCAACCTTTTTGCTGAAGTTGTCGTCTCAGTATTTCACAGAACACACACACACACCCTACAAAGCTGACAGGATGCTAGGAATCTCTCAAATAACCAGGGATAATTACTCGGGGTTGTCTCAAAAACACTAATGGAAGAAGGAAAACAATTTTTCCATATCTGACTCAGTGAACTTTAGCCAGCTTTTCTTACATTTATACCAACCTTTTTGCTGAAGTTGTCGTCTCAGTATTTCACAGAAGCTTTCTTTTATGGATTTTCCATCCAGCAAATGTTTCTGTTCCACGGCTAGGCAGATCCGACCACAGCATGCTTGGCTAAAGACTGCAGCAGCTCACCCAGGGCAGCTCCAACCTGGAGAGCAAAGGCCAGAAGCCATTATAAGGTTTCATATTCACAAACTATCTCTTTCTCCAGGGCACATAGTTGGCAGGATAACATCAGGAACCTTCCAAGTATCTTAAATCATTGATGAACAGAGACAACAGCTTACAAGGTATCCTAAAGACAAGTCGGGCCTATTCTGAGAGGAGGGCTTAAGTATTTAATCATTATTGAAAAGATATGGCCACACGACTGTGTTCTGTTTGTGGAAAAATTAAAAGCCAGATGTTTTAATTAACCACGGAAAAACACAAGCTACAACTAAAATTTCATGAACACAGTGATCTGTCCCATGGAAAACCACAGGAATGTTCTGGCAGGGCTTGGTCTGAATTCTTGGGACACAGAGGCCTGGAGTCATTCCCCTTAGGAACTCAAACAGAAAATTAACTTGCTCAATATGGCTAAAAGTAAAATGAGACCCAGATTTAATCTCAATCAAACATGAAAACATTTTAAGACTTCAAAGGATGCCACCAAAAGACACAGGAGAAGGGACCATGAAAAAATTCTAATGTGGTTCAGGATTTAGAAATGCACTCACAATGCAGGGCAAATGGCCCAACAGAGCATTTTATAGGCTACACAATCCAGAGGACAAATTAATCTTTCATTTCCTAATAGAGGAAATTATATACATACACACACACACACACACACACACACACACACCAATACTCAACAAGTGAATCGTAAATATTATCAAATGTATAATCTAAAAGGAATCCTCTAACCTTCCTGCTACCAAACATACATCCAGGCCCACACTAGTTACTGTGCATTCGGGGCATCCAGAAAAACAGCATTAAAACAACTTATGCTCACTGATGCTGCAACTAGCAATACTGATACAGAAAAACTAAATGAGGGTTGCTTACGAAAGGAATTAGCGAACAATAAGAGCTAACAGATTAACAAGTCTTAATACACTAATTAAATATAATAATAGTTATAACAATATCTACAGAGGCTAAATATTGAAAGCCTATTCAAGAGGGAATAGAACAAACGTTAGTTTCAGATACTGGTCTACAATTCTAGTTCTTTAAATCAAAACAGCCCTCATCGCAAATGTGCCAAACATGATATTACATTAACCTGTACCATTCAGTCCCCAAAATCACCTTGAAAAGAATACAGCAAGAAAAAGATAACAATATGTACACAGTGATCACAGTTTTGTTCTACTGCATGTACAACCTAAAGACACCAAAGTGTGAATAGCAGCATTTCTGGAAGCTACTTAAATTTCCTTTTCAGTATTTTACAAATTTTCTATGACTAATATATACTACTCATAAAATTAGAATTTTTTAAATTAATTTTATTGGTACATTTTAGGTATACAATATTATAATGACATTTATCATTGGAGATTTGTACCTTTACATAATATATCTTGATTCTTCCCAAAAGAATTAAAAGAATCATTCCTCAGCAATATATGTATGTCCACATATATGTATAGCGGCACAGCATGTAAGAGCTAAAACTTGGAGTGCTGGGGATTTAGCTCAATGGCTCTATCGCCTGCCTCGCAAGCGCAAGGTCCCAAGTTCGACCCCCAGTACCAAAAATTTAAAAATGAAAATAAATAAATAAACTTGGAAACAGCCCAGTTGCCCCTCAAATGGAGACTAGATAAAGAAGCTGTAGGTTTTTTAAATAAAATGGAGTACTACTCATCCATAAAGAATGAGAAGCTAGAGACATTTATAGCTAAATGGATGCACACTGAGGCCATGCTCTTAAGTGAAATAAATAGGACACACATATAAATCTTGAATAGTTTCTCTGGTGTGAGAAACAAAGTATAAATAAGGATCAAAATGTAAAATAGATAATGTAAAACAGGAAGAAAAGGTGGAAAGGGGAAGGAGAAGTAGGAGAGGAAAGGAAAGAAGGAAATGGAATTAACATGAGAAAATGAAAAAATAGAAACAGAGTCTTTGTAAATAGAGAGGGGTGGGGAGGGGTTGAAGAGAGGGCAGGGGAATGGGGAAAATACAATTAGAATTTTTAAAATGAGAGTTTTTTAAAGAGTATGAGAATAAAAAACAAAAATGGGACATCTATGCTATATCATTAGCCTTAGCCATAGGTTGCTTCTTATCTGAATAACAGAGCTAATAAAATATGAACTGCTTACTTATCTGAATTCGGTATAGGTTGAGCACCCCTAATGCAAAAAATCTAAAATCTAAAACTCTCCAAAATATGAAACTTTTTGAATGCAAGCATGACAGGACAAGTGGAAAATTCCAAACTATGAAACACTGTCATATACAAAATCATCTGAAATATGTAAAATTATCTTCAAGGCTAAGTGTATAAGGTATACATGAAATATAATGAATTGTGTTCAGATTTGAGTTCTACCCCCAAAATATCTCAATATGTGTATGTGAACATTCAAAAGTAAAAAAAAAAAAAATCTGCAATCTGAAATATTTCCGGTCTCAAACATTAAGGGACACTCGAACTGTAGTTTTTAATTTATAATTTCATACCATGTTCAAGGATGAAAAACAGCAGTTTCCTAGAAATGCAAACTTTTTTTTTTTTAGTGTGGAAATTGGCCACAGAGAGAACATCTCATCCAAACTTTTTTTTTTTTTTTTTGGTTTTTTTAAGACAGGGTCTCACTATGTAGTTGAGACTGACCTGGAACTCACTATGCAGCCCAGGCTGGTCTCAAACTCAATAGCAATCCTCCTGCCTCAGCCTCCAGAGTGCTGGGATTACAGGCATGTGCCACCACACCCAGCTCATCCAAACTTCTTGAACACTGACTATGCAACACACCTGTTACTTAGTTAAGAAATCATCTCCTGGGGTCACTTAATGGCTTCACAGGCACAGGGCCCTTATCAACCCCTGCCACATTCCATTTCTGATGCTCTTGGCATCCCAAGAAATACAAAGCACAACAGTAGAAACTTTATGCTAGAGGTCTTGGCAATCTCTTGCTCCAAGAAGCCCAGTCCCAAAGAATAAAAATGCTTTTCCCTAAGCCACATAGTCAAGAAGCAGGAATATGAGTCTGGATTATCTGCCTTTACTCCAAGTGCTCCTTCCACAATTACAACATCTCAGCATGCACCCTTGGATCACACCACAAACTGTATTAAACCAGCAGAATGAACAGAAATCTGTTCCACTAAAAACGAAATGCCTGCAGGAAAAAAAGTGAAGACTCAACCTCAGGCTATACAATAACAACAACAGCAGCGCAGCTCTGCTCAGAATGTGTCCGGGGGAAGAAACAACGGTTGCACTGTGTGCTGGTGGCAGGTATTCTCAACAGAAACTGCCTAGAATGCCGAAAGTCCTGGTCCTAGTCCTGGCTTGCTCTGCTGATAACAGAACAATCCCCCTGCTTAAAGTGGGACAAAAGGTTTCAACAATTAAAACTACACCTGTGCCAAGCCACCTATAAGAGACCTGAAACACGCATGCTCATCTGTTTTAGAAATAAGTAATTTATAGCATCAAGACCTGGTTGCTTACTTCAGAAATGACCCATCTTAAGGGAAAGACATGAGCAGTTTTGAAATTTAACAAGTCCTAAATGAAAATAAAATAATCTAAATGTTCCACATCTTATGTTTCATACAGCCTTAGAGAACAAGCAGGCATTTTTCTTTTCTTCTAAATTATTTCTTTGAAACAGTGCTTTCTTCCCTTCTTAATGTCTACCTAGAGTGTCCATGCCACACCAATCAGAAACCTCAGATTCTCACCAAATGTGACCAGGCTGATAAGCAAGAGACCAAAGAGGACAGATGGCAATGACAAACTCAGAAAGCTTTCCTGAAAGGCCTATATTGAGCTCACTTCTCATCACCCTTTCCCTGCTGTGCAGCAGAACAACAAAGGCATGAACTGTGAAGCTGCTAAAAAAAAAAAAAGCTACATCAGAGATGATGTGATCCAGCTTTGTAAGAGCCCAAGCAAACACAATGGCTTTGTCCTGCCACAAGTGAGAAGGCCGGCACTTTCTTTCCACCCAAAACTGCTCCTAAAATCCTATCTTATCTTCCTGTCGTTGCTGAGACAAAATACCCAACACCCAAAGTTGAAGGGGAAAAGGGTTATTTAGCTCAGAGTTTCTAGAAGTTTCAGTCCATAGTCAGCTGGCTCCAAGGAAGGTGGCATGGCAGACAGGCAGAAGGTAGCAAAAGTAGCAAAGGGACCTTAACAGTGTCTGCCCCTTTTAACCCATCCAGACTACCTCGGGTGGATAGCACTCACACCCTTAAATCCTAGTGTCCTTGAGCCTAACACTGAACCATGAATCAATTATAGCATCAAACATTCTAGATCCAGCCACCCCCAAATAATCTATGATCGCATGAGGCTTTGGGGGAACATCTAGACACAAGCCATAACAAATCCCCACCTTGTATTTCCATGCCTAGATTCTAGAGGGAACACCATATTAGTACCTATTTATTTCCATCTATCCCTCAGTTCTAATACTAAAAGTTAATGTCCAAAGTGGGCAAAAGGAATTAAGATTCTTGTTGATATTTCACAATGAAATCAGAGCTTCATGAGGAGTATATTCAGATAACTCTTTAAAGTCATTTGTAGATAATGACAGTACATTTAAATTTAGCACTCTGATAGAATGAACTGTGACTTATCAGTCACGAGCTACACAGATCTTACTGAAGTCATGAAATTATCTTACTTAACAGAATATTAAACAAAAATGAGAATTGAATGAGATTCACAGATTTTTGAAATATTTCATTACGTGGAACCTTGACAGTGTGTCATTCAGCCTTTAGCTCCAGTGAATGGCTTTGGCAAAACGTGCACCCTGATACTGCCATCATTTAGGAACCTTAAGCATTTGGCCTGCAATTTTTTCCCCTAGTCTAATGACATAGGCTTCTACTTCTTGAGCTTCATGCTGGACATATCAGCCAAGCAATTCAACACTGCTGAAATCTCTATCTCAAAACGACCAGATAAAACAGGGCAAGAAAAAGTATTTTGGAGAATCATTTTTCTCATAGCTACGAAATTGTGACTTTAAAACTTAGATCCTTACTATTAACAAATTTACATCTGAAAACATTTGGGAGACCGAAGAGTACAAATAGTTTAAAAGAATGAAGTTCAATCGCAATGATGAATGTAACTGTATGGTAGACCTAAAATGTACTGATAAACTC